CGGTCTATAGAAAAAGGAGGGAAGCAAGGGTCGTTGTCGACCGTCTTGTTGGAGTAGTGGAGGATGTAGTCGTGCGATCGATGGTGCGATTCACAGAGGCCGACCTCGTGTGAGGATTCTGCTCAGCGCAAATGGAGGTGATGACCCCAGTGGCTACCCTGATGAATAAAGCAGCGTGCACGAGGGTGGCGACAGAGCCGCTAAGGCCCCAACTGGAAGGGGTGAAAACGTAGCTGCAAAACCTAAGGGTTGAGATGACGGGCTGGAGGAAAGCCGTGTGGAGTGCTTGCGCAAAGGGGCTGGAGTATGCGCAAAGGGCAAAGAAGATGGAAGTCCTGGCAATGGTGCAGGGCTACATGGCGAAACGTGCTGCCGCCGAGCTCGCCCAAACCAAATCAGAGCTGGAAGTGGTGCGCCAAAATGCGGTGTCACTAGAGTTTGAGTTGGCGGGCGAGCAGAAGAAAGTAGGCAAAATCCGTGAGGCCTGCACCACCGCCAAGGAAATGCTAGAGGAAGCCCTAGTTAACAACGAAGAGTTGCGGGACCAGGCAATTAAAAAGAAGGAAGAAGCAGAGTGGCGAATTGCAGACTTGGAGAAGGCCTTGGCAGAAGAAAGGGCCACGTTGGCATCTGAGAGGGCGGCATACCCCGATCTGTGTGTGGCTGCCGTGGAGCAATTTAAGGGGTCCGTCGAATTCCAGATGGCCATGGACGCCGCGGTCGCTCGGAGTCTGGCGAAGGAGGGGGAGGAGGGTGCTAGGCCGTCGGGAGCAACGACTGGAGGTAGGAGCGAAGAAGAAGTGATCCAAAGCTTCCAGCGGTCTGACTTCTACAAGCACGCGATGAGCCAATTCTGGGACAGCGCTGGATAAGCTTCAAGTATAAGGCGCAAGAGCTGTTCCTAGACGTAGACTTCAGTCTCGTGAAGGTAGGAGAAGACGACATTGCCCAAACCCCCCTAGATGAGAGAGTTGAAGAGGAAGACCTCGCGTCGAGCAAGGGGGATTAAGTGTGTAAAATTATTTTTGTTTGTTTGTTTATTTTATTATTATTTTTTTTGTAACAAAGGTACTTTCTGTAAGGAATTTGTATAAAAATGCAAGTTTGTGAATAAAACGACGAGTTCAGTAATTATTATTGTTGTTGTTATTGCTTTGTGTTGTGAATTTTTAAACAGTAAGTATGACTGAGTAGGATTGGATAAAAATGGGTAAGAAAAATTTAGGAATATGAAATTTGATAAATAACCTATCTTGCAAAAATGGTAAAGATGGGCAAGCAGGCTGACCTGTATGAATAGTAAAAATGGATGGTCATGAACTTAGATTTTAACAAAGTCTGCCAGCGACTTCATGCTCAGTTTGACTGAGACTTGAAGGGCTCAGTCGGGCTGGGGCTTTAGTTAACTCAGTCTGGCTAAGCTCTTCATGGTCAGTCTGGCTGAGGCTATAGTTAACTCAGTTTGGCTGAGCTCTTCGCCCTCAGTCTGGCTGAGGCTTTAGTTAACTCAGTTTGGCTTAGCTCTTTGTGCTCAGTCTGGCTGAGGCTATAGTTAACTCAGTCTGGCTGAGCTCTTTGTGCTCAGTCTGGCTGAGCTCTTTGTGCTCATGAATAAAGTTACTTCGGTTAAGCCTCTAGGGGCAGCTTTCTGAGTTCGGTTTAGGAATTAAGAAAGCTGGCTTGGCCCCAAAGGCTTAGCTCGGTTGAAGACTAAGGTTCTTAGGTCAATGTCTTCAGACTTCGTTCGGTGATCTTATTTCGGCTAAAGTGAATCAGAAGGTTATTTTTTGAAGCTACTGTCATTTCTACAAGTTCTAGTTCGGCTATTGACTGAAGTAATTTACCTATTTGGACAAACAGTACCCTAGATCGGTCGCTACATTATTCTGGATCTAAGGCTAGTTTTTTACAGAAGTTCATACACACATGAACTCTGCTACTATTTCTTCGCGAAAGTATAAAAGCAAAGCAACAAATGGAGAAAAGTGTTTGCAAAAAGCATACAAAACAAAAACAGATGATAAAACAGGCAAAAGAGCAAGAAGGATAGGCTTGCTTACCCGAGTAAGAGAGAAGCTAAGAGATGGAGGCAATGGCAGCAATGGAGGCACGAACACAGTAAGCTCAAAACTCAGGGGCTCAGGAAACAAGGGAGAAGAGAAGGTGAAGAGAATGGGTGAATGGTTCAAAAAAGAGAAGAGTGTTTTGTGAGATAAGAGAGAGAGAAAAGGCGGGAACTGTACAAAATTTCTGTAGGGCGGCGTGACAGTTGGCCACAGCTTATCAGAGCTTGCCACGTGTCACTGGAATGGGAAGCGTTACATACGCTATGATTGAAGAGACGTTTTTGACCGGGCAAAACGGAGCCCGGAGTAAAATTAGCTCGGCTTAAAAGTTCGAGAGTTTTTAGCTCGGCTGGAGAGGCTAAAGTATTTTTAGCTCGGCTGGAAAAGCTTAAAACGACGCCAGTTCGGCTGGTGGACTGGTAATCCCAATCATGCTATGCAGATGGAATTAAGGGGCAATTGAGAGGGTAATTTTTGGTAAAAATTGGGCCGAGCTATGTGATAGGCTTCGTGGCCCAAAGTGCCAAGGACTTGGTGAAAAGGCCGCAAGGTTACTCCGGCCCAGGAGAGGTATGGTTACTCTGGCCCAGGAGAGGTATGGTTACTCCGGCCAGGAGAGACAGGGTTACTCCGGCCGAGGAGAGGCAAAGCTACTCTGGCATAAGAGGGACAAAGTTACTTCGGCACAGTGACTGTAGAGGTACTTCGGTCCGAAAGCAACTTGGAGTTGTGCCGGTCTTGGGGTTATACCGGTCGAAAGTCGCTGGTTCGGTCTAAAACCGTACTATGGGTTCTACATGGAAAGCCGAGATAAGAAAGGGAAGACAAAAGAACCGAACTATGAATGAGTTCGGTCCACTCGGAGGCTTAGTATAGCCAAGTTTTATTTCGGTCAAATGGTGGTTCGGCCATGGAGGAAACCATCCCACTTGGTTTAAGCAGTGGGGGAGGGTGTAAAAGGATAAGCATTATCCTTAGGAGTATGAATCCTAGGAGGACACTGCATGGAGAAATACAAGTCCTACTAGGATTATGCCACTCGAAACCTATAAAAGCTCACAAGCACCACCTTGGAGGAGGTAATTTTTTAACACAATTCTTCCTGAGAACATAGAGCTTTGTCTATTTGTCAAGCTTACTGACTTAGGCATCGGAGAGGTTTCCGGCACACACCCGCCGGTTAGCTCACGTTTGTGTTTTCAGGTGATAAAGCGACGTCGTACGGAGGAGCGTGGACTTGGTCAACAGGATTATACGAGGAGAATTATTTCCTCCCCGTACAATATGATTAGAATTGATCAAGTTTATAATTAAACTTCAAAAATTATGACATATACCGTTTATGTGCATATTTGTCCTTAAAAATACTAACAATTAGAATCAATTATATCAATTTGAGACAAAATCAAAAATTCAAGATCAAAATCAATCTAATTAAAATTACAGCTAACATAAGAGTCGCCTAGCTTTTTAACTAATTTCGTCTGGCTAAATTAATTTCGTTTGGAAAGAACTTTTGATTTTTTTTTATTATTTATTTTTTATTTAGATGGGATGGTTGTGAGAGAAAAAATAAAATAATTATAATTTAAATATAATATTTTATTTTATTAACTTATTTTATTTTATTTTTACTCGTTTAGGCAAAAGAGTTGTTGCCAATCGCCAACAAAATATAATAACAGCACCCTAAAATAAAAGATAATCTTCGTTGTGGGCAACAATATGTTAAATGAAGAATCGTAAATCTTTCAGATTTGAAATGATCACCCCCCAAATAATAGCATTATTGTACATAAAGTAAAAGAACTGCCCCTTTTTTTAATAAAGGGATAATTTTATTTTGTTGTCATGTTGGAGAAAAGGCAAAACAAAGCCTGTTTAGTCTTAAAAGTTTTCTTATAGACTGAAAGGTCCCATTATAATGTTTCAAACATCAGATTAATTTTTCGAACATTAGATTTTGAACATCAGATTAATGTTTCGAACATTAGCTTTCGAATATCAAATTAATGTTTCGAACATTAAATTGATGTGCAAATGGGACTAAATAGAGCATAAGAAAAATTTTAGGACTAAATGGTTCAACTTTTCAAAAATTATGACTTATGGATAAATTTTTCTTTTTTTAATAAAGAGATAATTTTATTTTGTTGTCGTGTTGGAGAAAAGGCAAAACAAAGCAAGGAGGTTTAGGATATAACATAAAGTTTTCCTGCTCTAGGTGGCCTGTTGGGTCGGTAGACTTTAATAAGTATTGTTTATTCGAGGATTGTTTCGAATGATTTAAATAAGTATATTTTTTGTCTTTTTATAAAAAGATGTGCAAAAAAATAGAGAGGTAATGTGATTAAAAAAAGATAAAAAGATGGATTATTTTTGGATTGCCAAACTTGGCCTCAATCTTATTGTTCACTCAAACAATGGGTCTAATGGGGTTTGGAGGCCTCTCCCAAGGGAAAGGGTCCAGGGGCGCCTCTTTTAGGCTAAAAGAGTTGTATTTTTTTTATCATAGTGAAAACCGCAGCAACCGTGGACGTAACCCTATTCTAGGGTGGACCACGTAAATTTGTATGTGTGATTTATTTGATTCATTTTTTCTTCTTTATTTATTATTTCGTGTCTCACCCATCTTGATTAGTAACGATCAATTCCTAACATGGCCAACTACTTTACTATGGCATTGTATTACTATTTCTTATATTAAGGTACCAACATCATTTATAATTAAAAAATTAACACGTTCTTGATGGATAGTATAGTTGATTTACACATTATTGATGATTTTCTTTTTTCTTCTTTTATGTATTTTGTATGTCCATTTCAACTATATTATGTTTAGATCATCAAGATCCATAGATAAAAGATTACACATGGGTAAGTTAGATTGTTTATTTTCAAATCCTAATCCACAAAACACACATAACCAAGAGATTGAACGCTACTCAAAACACAATTATTATAAACATCACATCACATGATAACAGGGCCAAGATAACACCTGCAACCCTCATACCAGGTCATGGCATAGAAACCAAAGACCCAGTAATCAACCACAAACTGACTCAACACAAACTATAATTATTTAGGGTAGTTTGATCACTTAATAAAATTAAAGACAAACCACAAATTAAAGATGAAAAAAAGCAGAAGACATAGTACAGAGCAAGCCACTCAAAAGTTAAAAGAGGTGGTGGTGCTTCTTGCCATGGGACTCTTCATCTTCTTCCTTGGCATCTTTCTTCTCATGATGCTCATGGAATGCATACCCACCAGATCCAACTGCAGCCACAGCTGCTATCTCTTCCTCTATCTTATGCTTGTGGGCATGCTCTGGGTCTTTCTTTGACTGATGCTTCTCATACTGTAATAATCAGTAAGAAAAAAAATAATTCTTTTCATAATTTTTCTTTACAGAAGAAAAATAATCAAAACATGCTTGGAAAAAAAATTCAAAAACAAGGTAAATACAATATAAACGGCTATATTTATTAGATAAACCAAATGATTCAAACAGAAATATTTTTATTCTGTTATAATATTAAATAATTAAGTGATCTAAAAGTTTGAATAATTAAAAGAAATATATATTATTTTATTATTTATACATATTCACCCATGTGAAAATTATTTAGAAAAGAAAATTAAAATGTTAAATTGGAAATTCCAAGGTTGAAAAATTAATAGTCCCCAATACATTCTTATCACTTCAACTAGCGGTAACCCGTGCTATGCACGGGCAAGTAACAAAAAATGATAAATAATGTTAAACATGTTAAAAATTAACAATTAAATACTATGATATTTATTTAGATGTGTATTGAAATAATATATTTAGTGATCTTACTATATTTAATTAAATAAATTTTACTTGACTATTATATACCACATGTCCTTCATTTTTAGATAAAAGGGATAAGACTCAAACTTTAAATTCCGTTTGCGAACCGCCAGTATATATTAAACAAAATAACAAATGAATTCCGCTAGTCTATATTAAACAAAATAACAAATGAACTTGGTTGGTTTCCAGTTAAAAATTTAACTCAATTACACAGTTGAAATTTTTTACCCATAACAAACAAAGATACAAGTAAAAATTTATGAAAAGATTCAAGTAGACTTTAAAATAATCGGTGGCATTTCATAAACTCTTATCGATAAGAGCGACAGTTGAAATTTTAATTAGAGCACAGCCAATACGTGTGTAATTCACATAACTAATAATAAAAATAAATAATAAAAAATTTAATATCATAATATATATATATTACTTAAATAATAAGTATGTTCTTAATGATATATATTCTCAATATTTTAAATATATTGATTATCCTTTAAACTTTCAAAGAAAAATAAATTTAATTTTTATACTTTTATAATTATATTAAATGAAGACTAGACTTGGTGTTCAAGCATTTGCTTGCTTGACTTTATGCCACATGTCCTTCATTTTTAGATAAAAGGGATAAGACTCAAAAATTCCGTTTGCGAACCGCCGGTATATATTAAACAAAATAACAAATGAATTCCGCTAGTATATATTAAACAAAATAACAAATGAACTTGGTTGGTTTCCAGTTAAAAATTTAACTCAATTACAAGGTTGAAATTTTTTACCCATAACAAACAAAGATATAAGTAAAAATTTATGAAAAGATTCAACTAGACTTTAAAATAATTGGTTAAGGCATTTCATAAACTCTTATCAGTAAGAGCGACAGTTAAAATTTTAATTAGATCACAGCTAATACATGTGCAATTCAGGTAACTAATAATAAAAATAAATAATAAAAAATTTAATATCATAATATATATATTGCTTAAATAATAATTATGTTCTTAATGAAACTCAAGATCTTAACTTCAAAACTTATTTACGATGTAATAATATTTTTATTTTAATATATATAAAATTACCAAGTCATATGTAAAGAAGAAGTATGTTCTTAATGAAACTCAACATCTTAACTTCAAAACTTATTTACGATGTATAATAATATTTTTATTTTAATATATATAAAATTACCAAGTGATATGAAAAGAAGAAATTTTACTAAACCAATTTTTACTAAACCAAGTGATAGATGGATAGATGGATACATAAGAGAAGAATAATAATTACCAAGGCAAAAGTGCCAGCAGCAACAGCACCAAGCTCACCAAGGTGCTCACGGTGCTTGTGTTGCTTAACCTCTTTCTCAAAATCAGGGGTTTCCTCAGAAAAACGAGGAGGTGCTGTAGTTCCATAAACACCAGTACTCTCACTATACTCACTCCCTCCACCACCGCTTCCATAGGCGTTGGTGGTCTCACCATAGGTGGTCACTTCTTCAACGCCACCGTAGCCGGTGGTGGTGCCACCATATCCGGTGGTGGTGTCACCATATCCGGTGGTGGTGCCGGAATAAGGAGCTGAATCGATGGGCTTGTCTTCGTCGTCCTTGTGGTGGTGGAAGTGGTGGTGGTGGTGCTTCTCTTCGGCCATTGTGGTGCTGATCGGAAAAAAGTAGAATCAACGGTGGTGATTTGAATAGGCAGGGGGTGATTTGAAAGGTTTTGTGATTTGTTTGTGAAGATCAAGGAGTGGTTGGTGCTGTATTTATAAGTGGTGGTGAGATTATGGAATAACGTTAAATACGTGGTGGTGAGATTATGGAATAACGTTGTATGTATTAATTAACATATTAATTAGTATATTAATATATAATGTGATGTAATTAAAATTTTTTTTGGTATTTATAATTTGTATAATGAATGAGATCAATAATAATATTAATATATTAATTAATACGTGTAATATTGACAAAACTTAATGTTGTGTTTGGGTGAGAAGGGATTTGAAAATAAAAAGAAAAAAAATGTGTGAAACTATATGAAATATAAATATATTTTATTTACATTTTACCTAACTTTTCATTTTCTCTTTTCAAAATTCTATTCAAATTTTCTAACCAAACACAACATAAAAATTCATAACTTAGAGGTATGGTGGGTGGCATTAAATGCTATTGTGGATGGTCACGATTTCGTTATGTTCACGCATGTTTCTCAACTTCCAATAAAGTCTCAATCATCCTCACTCAAGTGGGAACAAAAGTTTGTAGTAATTCTATCTACAAAAATTTCAAAAAACCTATTGAACTGTACCGAAGTCAAATACAAGATTTCTTATACTAAGGCCTCGTTTGGATCCACATGTCAACATATGTTTGGCTTATGTGTTCTTAATATTATTGCACAAATTTTTATTCAATGTGACATACATATGATATTGAATCCACATGTCAACATATGTGTTTGGCTTATGTGTTCTTAATATTACTGCACAAATTTTTACCCAATGTGACATACATACGGGGACTCCACCTCGTGTAAAACTTAATTTTGAAAAATATTTGGTGACTCGAAAATATGTGGTTCGAATGGTTTGAAAATGGCAAAACGACGTCGTTTTACACCCAAAACGACGTCGTTTTGAGTGTTTCGAGCCACATATTTCGAGCCATTCTAACCACATATTTTCGGGCCACCAACCATTGCTGCTGCTTAATTTTTTTATTTTTTTTACATTTATGTCTTATTTTGTAAAAAAAATTGTATCTATTAAAAGATTATAAATTTTAGTTAAAAAACAATGATGTTAGTTTATGAATATATTGATCATTTGATTACGACTTACAAGTAGGAGTGTTTGCGGTTTGGTTGTGATTTGTGAACCTTCAATCCGTCATTTGTCCAAGAGTGGTTGGTGCTGTATTTATAAGTGGTGGTGAGATTATGGAATAATGTTTTATGTATTAATTAATATATTAATTAGTATATTAATATATAATGTGATATAATTTAAATTTTTTTTGATATTTATAATTTGTATAATGAATAAGATCAATAATAATATTAATATATTAATTAATACATGTAACATTGATAAATTTAATGCTGTGTTTGGGTGAGGAGGGATTTGAAAATAAAAAGAGAAAAGCTATGTGAAATTATATGAAATATAAGTATATTTTATTTAAATTTCACCTAATTTTTTATTTTTTCTTTTCAAATTTCTACTCAAATTTTCTAACCAAACACAACATAAAAATTCATAACTTAGAGGTATGGTGGGTGGCCTTAAATGCTATTGTGGATGGTCACGATTTCGTTATGCTCACGGATGTTTCTCAACTTCCAATAAAGTCTCAATAATCCTCACTCAAGTGAGAAATTAAAAAAGTTTGTAGTAATTCTATCTACAAAAATTTCAAAAAACCTATTGTACTGTACCGAAGTCAAATACAAGATTTCTTATACTAAGGCGGAATTCACATGATATTGAATCCACATGTCAACATATGTTTGGCTCATGTGTTCTTAATATTATTGCACAAATTTTTATTCAATGTGACATACATATGATATTGAATCCACATGTCAACATATGTGTTTGGCTTATGTGTTCTTAATATTACTGCACAAATTTTTACCCAATGTGACATACATATGGAGACTCCACCTCGTGTAAAACTTAATTTTGAAAAATGTTTGGTGGTCCGAAAATATGTGGCTCGAATAGCTCGAAAATGGCAAGACGATGTCGTTTTACATACAAAACGATGTCGTTTTGGGTGTTTCGAGCCATTCTAACCACATATTTTCGGGCCACCAACCATTGCTGCTTATTTTTTTTTTATTTTTTTTTACATTTATGTCTTATTTTGTAAAAAAATTTGTATCTATTAAAAGATTATAAATTTTAGTTAAAAAACAATGATGTTAGTTTATGAATATACTGATCATTTGATTATGACTTACACACAAGTAGAAGAGTTTGCGGTTTGGTTGTGATTTGTGAACCTTCAATCCGCCATTTATCCAAAACTAAGTAGATTGAAAAAAATTAATTCGCAACCGTTCTCCGGATTGACAGATGGATGCGAATCGGTTTGGTTGTTTATATTTTACAGATTTTCAACATAATAAAACTTGTCAACATAAATTTTTGTTTTTTTTTTTTGGATAACTATCCAATCTGTCTTATTAATAATGACTAAAAACATAGATAATAATTTAACAAACCAGTATGTTAACAATGACTGCAAACTAAAGATGTTCGCGGTTCGGTTGCAACCTAGAAGCTTTCAATCCGTCATCCATCCAAAATTAGGCGGATTGGAGAAAATCTATCTGTATCTGTTCGCTTATCATCACGTATCCGTCCAAAATGTAACAAATGTGTTCGATTTGATCGATTTAGACGGATCAATATATCCGCTAAGTAACCCTACTTACAAGTATTTTTCAAATTCCTAATAGGAACTTTACTGGATGTATAACCTTTTTCAACTTTGAAATTGTTATGAACTTATTATTATTAGTTTTTTCAAAACATAATCCAAAATTTTAAAAATTTAGTATCTTGTGGGTTACAATAATAATAAAAAAAATTGATTCACTCATTTTAAATTATAAATACTTTTTAAATTATTTTTTTTTATTGAGACTGTATGTATAATTTATGAGTTATCAAAGTCAACATCCTGAATACGACCTGACCATTTTCCTTATATCCAAAGGTGATCTACGTAGGATAATGCCAATAATGCTACACTTGTGATACAGTTATACTATAGTAGATCTCTTAAATATTATCTTTATTTTTTTGTATTTAAATAAATTATCAATTGACAAACAAGCATATTGGATTTTTTTTTTTGAATTAATTTATTTGTAAATTCGTGGAGATCCATTCTCCTCAAATTTGACCAAAAAAGGTCTTTCTTCACAATGAGGACTTCTTCCCTTTAGATATCATAGCAAAAATATCAAAAATAAATAAAAACATTATCAATCATAAAAATTTATCTCAAATTTTATTCTGAAATGAGTGTATAATATAAATTTAAAATTAATCACATACTTATAATAAATATAAATTATTAAGTTTTTAAAATATTTTCTAATATTACTAATTGCGAAAAAATAAAACACCAATCACGGAGGGGTGCGTTGTAAATTGGTGTAAAAGGAGGCCCCCCCTGACTTGTGGTCTCCTCCAAATGAATACTGGACGGTGGTTAGAGGGACCCCCACATAAATATGGATAACTTATGGAGTCCAATGCCGCGTGGCTCTCTCTTTGCCGACTATCTTTTATTGTTTTATTTTAACTGCTTTGACAAAGTTGAAAGTAGCATTTAGCTTTAGGTTTTTTACATTATTTTTAAAAATTTTAATACAAAAGTAATGGATACTATGTTTGGGGTTGGTTTGGGGTGTCCTAAAAAAGTATATTTTTTATCTTTTTATGAAAAGATGTGCAGAAAAGTAGAGAGGTAATGTGATGAAAAAAAGATAAAAAGATAAAAAGATGGATTATATAGGTTATGCCATACCAGCCTTAATTGAAGAAATTGCACTCTCTTCTTTCAACAATGATTTAGACCACTAAAAAATACACCACTAATAGCACTAATGCATTGAGAATGATAAAAAAGAAAAAAAGAAAAAAAAGAAACAAGGTATAGAAAGTGAGCGAGGCCCACTGCCACATCATCAGTGCTCCTTCTACTGCTCCATTTCTAGTGCTCTCAAACATTTTTCCTCTTCTTTTGAGATTGAAAAAAAATAATTAATTAATTTTATAAGTTGGATATAATTATTTTGATTTCTCTTTTAGTAAGATTAAAATGATTAAAATTAACACAGAGAATGAGTAGACACTAGAATAAACAAAATAAATATATGTTTTAATAGAAAAGAGATTATGTTTTAATAGAAAAGAGATTATAATATTATCTTTTCATCTCTACGTCTCTTGAAGTGTTGTGTGAATTTAAACATCAAGGGATGTTGATGTAATTATGTAAAAATTATAAGATTAACTATACTTTTCCTTAACCTTAGAGGAAGTAAGGTCATGTTTGTTTGAATGAGACTGGATAAAGAAGATTGTAATCTATTAGACTATTAATCTAAAAATGATTAGTCCATTGAATTCAATGTTTGATTAAAATATTATGAAGAAGGGTAAATGCTTAATAGATTATTTTACTCTTTTCAATTTTTTACTAAGTAATAGCAATACTAAATATGTCTTCAGTATTTTAATTATTTTTGGGTAGATTAAATAAAAAATTATTTTATTTTATTTTTTAAAAATTAAATAAATTTATTTTTAATTAACTAAATTAAATAAATAAAACATCAATAAAAATTTATGTTATTTTTAAAATAAAATGTTAAATAAATTTATTTTTTTAAATATTAAATATTAAATAATGAAAATAAATAAAAAAATCAATAAAAATTAAATAATGAAATGAAATAAAATAACAACAAAAACTTGAAACAAAACATCAATAAAAAATCTATAAAATTTTATTTAAAATATTAAGTAAATAAACATCAATAAAATAAAATAATTTTATTTTTTAATTGAGATTTTTATATTTTATTTTATTTTACTAAATACAATACATAATGATATCAAATACTTGGAGGGCAAATGTGTCATTTTACAACTTAGGAGTTGTTTGGAATGACCTAAATAAGTGTACTTTTTGTATATTTACGAAAAGATATGCAGAAAAGTAGAGAGGTGATGTGATGG